TCTCTCACCGTTCCTTTTCAGTCTTCTTTGTGGTCAACCTGTTCTCTGCCTGTCCCTCAAATATTGGTGCCTTTGGGCTTGTTATTCTTCCCGGTTTTTCACTTATGCACTCCACCCACCCTGGACAGCTTTCTCCCTCCTCCAGGCTGTGACTATGCTCCTGACTGCCAAGTCTCTATCTCTTGGCTAAACCCACGGCCACCTCTGGACATCCCCCCGTGAATGTCACACAGGCACTTTGAACTCATTTTATCCACAGCTGAATTTCTCTCCTCGCTCAAACTGGTTCTGCATCCCCTCTTTCTTACACTGCCAATCGCACCAGCCAGCCGCAGTTCCCAGGCCTCTAGGTGCTACCTCATTAACCTCTCCCCAGCTTGTCTCTCATCTGCTTTTGCCTTGGTTTGGGCCCTCGTTACCATTCACTCAAACAACTGCAGGAGTTTCCTCAGTGGCCTCCATGTTCCCACCTGTCTTTCAGTATTGCTAAAGTTAAAGCAGTATTTTAAAATCTTACATCTAATCCTTCCACAGCTCCCATTATTTACACCTGTGGTCTCCAAGATAGGGTGCGTGAGCCTCAATATGTGATTCATTGGGAAAGAAAATAGAATTCCTATCACATATATATTTTAAATTTAAGAAATTGCACCTAGCATAACACCTAGTAAGTACTCAATAGATGCATGCTGAATGCATTAGAGCAGGGGCTGGCAAACTTTATAAAATACAGTAAACATTTTAGGCTTTGGGATCCATAGCGTCTCTGTTGCAGCTACTCGGCTCTGCTCTCGTAGGCCAAAGGAAGCTGTGGGAAATATGTAAACAAATGGGCATTTGTTTCTGTGTTCCACTGCAAATTTATTCACTAAACAGGTGTCGGGCTGCATGTGACCCGAGGACTGTAGTTTGCTGACCCCTGAATTAGAGTATGTGGGAGGGAGAACTGTCTAGTGACAAGGTAGGTTGGGGAGCGTTCCTGGAGGTTCTGTATGCAGAACTAAAGAGTTACAAAATAGAGTTTTGAGTTTTATCCAGAGACCAATGTCAGAGACAGATATTAAATAATCACATATAAGACATGATTATAAACCATGATAAATGCTATGAAGAAATCACAGGATGCTGTTATCATATAACAGAAAGCCCTGACTCGTTCTTGGGGATTAGGAAAGGATTCCCTGCAGAAATGTCATTTGAGTTGATATCTGAAGGATGAGAGGAGTTAATTAGGCAAAGGATAAAAGAAGGTGTTCCATGTGTCCAAGGACCCTGAGATAGAAAAGAGCTTGCCGTGCCTCCAACTCCCGGCTGAAATTAAGGCTGAGGTGGCCGGCGTGAAGCAACGGGGAGACGAGAGTGAGAGGTGGAGAGGGGGCAGAAGCCAAAGCGGTCCATGTCTTGTTTCCATGTTGAGGATTTGGGTCTGTAACCCAAGAGCAATGGAAAGTACTTGAGGGGTTTGAGCAGCTGAGGGACGTGATGAGATCGGCTTTGTTGAAAGATGACTAGGACTACAGTGTGGAGAATGGATTCATTAGAAGGGGTGAGGTAGATAGCAGGGGGCACTCCAGCGACTTCCCCTGCACTGGGTCAGGGGTGCTGGAGACATTTCCTATGTGAGTATGTTTTGTCGTGTGTGAACATCTTACAATTAGATATTATCAGTATTCACTAGAACCATATATAATATATATGTTCCATAAATTCACCTCTGTAAACTGCCTGAGGTGACGGCTGAGAATGACATCAGATTAAAATGTTACACGTAAATTTTTTAGCATAGTGGATGGTGTCTATCATCAAAGTAAGAACATCTGAGGTCCCGGAGTGCATATCTGGGAATCTTTCTCCTCACCAGGTGACTGGAGATATGAGAAGAGGTAAGAAGCACTAAAAAAAATGTTCAGGGAGCTTTGTTAGGATTTTGAAATTCAAGCTGTAGCCTGGGGACTTTGAGAGACTATAAGGAGAGCGGTTAAAACCTAATACTGCAGTCCAGGCAGGAGACGGCGAGGGCTTGGACTTGGGCAGAGATGCAGAGAAGTGGACAGATTGAGAGATGCTCAGGCAGTAAGACCAACAGGTCTGGTTGAACGGCTAGATTTAGGAGGAAAGAGACGTAGTCATTGTTGGTCACCAGGTTTCTACCTTGTGCAACTGGAGGATGGCGATGTCAGATACTGTGTTAGGGAATACTGAAGGAGACACATGGGGAAACATGAGATATACAGGTAAAGATGTCTACTATTCAGTTAATTGTATATGCCTGTTGCTCAGAAGAGAGGCCTGAAGATACGGCTTAGGATTCTTTGAAGACGGTCATGCAAGAGTTCTTTACTCTAGCCAGCCTTAAATGCTTGCCTCCCTTCACAGAGCAGTCTGTCTGATGCCTCCATGTCATTGCCCAGAAAGCACTCTGCAGAGTGGCCTGAGCCACTCCCCTGACCTGGACATAGCTTAAGACTCATCTCCTCGAAGCCTTTCCTGAGAATTAACCACTCCCTTTGTGCTTCCACAGTGTATGCACCTTTTTACATGAGATTTACCTTCAACTCAACTCCAATAAGTTTCTTTCCTGCTCAAAACCTTCTGATGGATTTTCAGTGCACCTAGCCCAAAATCCAGACTCTTTATCGTGGTTTATAAAGCCATAAAATAGCTGATACCTGCTATCTTTTTTTTTCTTTCTGCTTTTTCTCCCCAAATCCTCCCAGTACATAGTTGTATATTTTAGTTGTGGGTCCTTCTAGTTGTCGCATGTGGGACACCACCTCAGCATGGCCTGATGAGGGGTGCCACATCCACGCCCAGGATCCGAACCGGTGAAACCCGGGGCCGCCGAAGCGGAAAGTGCGAACTTAGCCACTCAGCCACGGGGCCGGCCCCTGACACCTGCTATCTTTCTAACCTTATCTTGCACCCCCTCCCTGTTGCAAGCCACATACGTAATTTTAAATTTTCTAGAAGCCACATTAAAAAGGTAAGAATAGACAGGTGAAATTAATTTAAATAATCTGTTTTGTTTATTCAACATATCCGAAATGTTATCATTCAACATCAAATCAATATAAAAGTTATTAATGGGACATTTCACAATCTTTTTTACCACACGAAGTCTTTGAAATTGAGTGTGTATTTTGTGCTCAGAGCACATCTCGATTCTGTCTAGCCACCTTTCATGTGCTCAGTGGCCGCATGTGGCCAGTGGCTGCTCTGCTGGACAGCACAGGTGCTGACACGTGCATCTTTTTCTGCCTTAGAACATGCCGGCCGCTTTCTGGCTTTGGGGCCTTTGTACTCACGATTCTCTTTGCGAAGAAAGCTCTCCCTCCTCACATTGTCCCTACATATCTCTGTCTAATCTGGCCCGTTCAGATCTCAGCTCAAGATCACCTCCTCTGTGAGGCCTTCTTCAGCCACCCAAGCTGAAATCCTTTCTGCCCCTTGGCGTGTTGCCTTGATGAATTACAGTCAGTCCTCATTATTCATAGATTCTATATCTGCTAATTCACCTACTCATTAAGATCTGTTTGTGAGTCTGACAACTAGAAGGACCCACAACTAAAATATACAACTATGTAGTGGGGGGGTTTGGGGAGAAAAAGGAAAAATAAAATCTTTTTTAAAAAAAAGAATTAAAAAATTAAAAAGTTAGCAAAATTTAAGATATTAAAAAAAAGATTTATTTGTGAGTCTGAAATCAGTACTTGTGGTGCATTCCTGGTCCCTTGCAGACATGTGCAGAGTGGTGAAAAGTTTCAGTCGCCTGACACATAGTTCCCAGCTAGGGTCAAACTAGGTGATATTCTGCATTCTTGTTTTGGCTCTCATACTGTAAGCAAGTGTCCTTTTCCCTGTCTATTTAGTGTCACACTTTCACATGTTTGTGCCTTTTTTTTTTTTTTTTTTTGCTGAGGATGATTGGCCCTTAACTAACATATGTTGCCAATCTTCCTCTTTTTGTTTTTCATTTGCTTGAGGAAGATTAGCTCTGAGCTAACATCTGTGCCACTCTCCTCTATTTTCTATGTGGGTTGCCACCACAGCATGGCTAACGAGTGCTGTAGGTCCTCACCCAAGATCCAAACCCACAAACCCGGGTCACTGAAGCAGAGTGTGCTGAACTTAACTGCTACACCATGGGGCTGGCCCCTCTTGTTTGTGCTTTTTGTTGGTGATTTTGCTGTTTAAAATAGCCCACAAGTGTAGGGCTGAAGTACTGTCCTGTTCCTATGTGCAAGAAGACTGTGCTGAGTGTTATGGAGAAAATGTGTGTGTAGGACGAACTTCCTTCAGGCATTAGTTATCCTGCTGCTGGCTGAGCTCAATGCTAGTGAGTCAACTACATAAATAAGGTGTTTTTAAACAGAAACACACCTAAAACAGTTGATGGAAATGTGACTAGACGCTCGAAGGAATCTAATCTCTTGTTTCCCCTAGGAGCAATAGTTTAACATTTGATAACTCAGTTATTTTAGAACATGACTTTCAGAAGTAATGTGACTTGACTTGACTTTCGTTGTCTTTTATCTGAAATAAACCTTCCTCATTTATTTGCTTAGTCAATGACTGACTCCCCCAGCTAAGCTTCAGAACCAGGACCCCATCTGGTTTGGTTCACTGTTCCATCCTTAGTGCCTGACATATGTTTGGCATTCAGTACATTTCTGTTAAATGAATAAATGGATGGATAAATAATTAATAGTGGACAAACATTTGCCAGCACTGGTGGTCTAGTGGTTAGGATTTGGCGCTCTCACCACTGTGGCCCAAGTTTGTTTCCTATCAGGGAACCACACCACCGTCTGTCCGTTGTCATACTGTGGGAGCTGTGTATTGCTGTGATGCCAAAAGCTATGCCACCAGTATTTCAAACACCAGCAGGGTCACCCATGGTGGACAGGTTTCAGTGGAGCTTCCAGACTAGACAGACTAGGAAGAAAGACCTGGCCACCCACTTCCAAAAAAATTGGCCATGGAAACCCCGTGCATAGCAGCAGAGCATTGTCTGATACAGCGCCAGAAGGGGAGAGGATGGCGCAAAAGACCAGGCAGGTTAGTTCTGCTGTCCACAGGGCGCCAGCAGTTGGAATCCAGTCATCAGCATTGACACAACAATGAACAAACATTTAATTAACATTTCCTTCTAGTTCTACACTAGGTGATAAAAGATAATCTTAATTTGAAAATATTTGCAATATTTTTAATACCCTGTTTACACTCATATTTGGGGATGCCTTGAAAATATAGTCATTATTTTACAGCCATTAGTTTTAAACAATTAGTTTATCTCAGTCCCGAGTCTCTTTCCCGTTAATTTGAGAAAGCCTTTGTTTTGAGTGAGCTCTTTATGACCTGCCCTACAACGTATGTACTTTGTTCTTTTTATCATCTCTTTCTACATGTGGTTTTTTTTAACAGTCCTTTTTCGAGTCCTATAAAGTATCCTTAATTTTTCTCTTTCCACTAGAATTAGGTAGTGACCGTGTTTTCAGGAAACATCAGATCAAAAACATTTGGTTTTTTATTATTTCAGCACATTCCTTAAGTCGTACATTCTTGCAGCTGTGGGCTGTGTTCCCCCCCTCTAAGTTTTTATTATGGAAAATTTCAAACATACACAAAAGTGTAGCAGTAATAGTATAATGAACCCTCATGTACTCATTGTGTGAACTTTTCCCCCAAAATTCCATTTTAAGGAAGTTTTCTCTTGCCCTGGTTTGATAAAATGCTCCAAGGGGCATTATTGTTAGTCCAGGGTTGCTGCTTCTGTCCTGGAAGACAGGCTTCGAAGGAGGGCAGGGTCTGCCTTGCAGCTGAAAGGAAGGTGTCTGGTCATCTTCACCTTCACAAATAGAAGAGAAATGGAGTCTGGGTTGTGATTCTAAGAGTCTTTGAAGACTTTGGAAATTGCAGTTTAGTCCATATTTTAGTTTAGATTTGTTGTCAGTTCATTACTGTTGTTGCCCTTCTGGTTGTCTTGTTTTCTCAACTCTTCAGCAATAAACCCTGTGAAATGAAGAGTTCGAAAGCATCACAGCAGGAATGTGCCGCTCTTCTCTCTGTTGCTTGGAAGGAGGGTCAACCCCCAGAACAGAGAGGGTGGTGGTACCATCGGGGATGCTGGGAAGCAGCCGGGCCTCTGACCCCTCTGCAGGGGAGGAAGGGGGCTCAGGGCCGAGGACTTGCGGGTCCTTCTGGAGACCCCCCGGTGGACCCTGGGCATGGTGCTGAGATGGCCACTCTCCCCTTGTCTCTGCTGTCCCTGCTCACCTCCGAATGCTCTTCACCTGCACTTCGTTAGCTTCCTCCCAAATGGCTTCCTTGGCTCCCTAGACCAGGTGGGGCCTCCCTCCTGTGGGGCTCCTCGCACCTTGTACACATGGCTTTCCCTTTACAGCGCTTACTGCACTGTCTGATCCGTTTCCTTGTCCGGGTTTCCTTTACTGGACTCTAAGCTCCTCAAGGGCAAGGACTGTTGGTTTATCATGTTTCCCCAGTGTCTCATGCAGTTCTTGGCGTAGAATCAACCCTCAGTTAATATTAGTTTGTATGAATGAATGAGAACAACTGAATCTGGATACCTCTAATCCTTTTGTTGTGAAGATTGGAGGGAATGAATATAAAACGTCCAGCAAGGAGCATGGACTAATAAGCATTCAATTCATAGTAACTGTAGCAGTGGTCGTCATGCTCCTGAGAGTAGGGGCAGAATCTCGCTCATGGCTGTACTCTCTTCAGAGTTCAGTAATGACGCTTACTGCACGTGATTGAATTGAATATAGAGTAAATAAGCCAGATACATGATGAGTTATTCTTCTGTGTCCATGTTTTGAAGAAAACTAATGGCTCTCTTGAGGATGTGTTTATTTTCCATGGGGTATAGAAATTATCTTTTTTCCAGGCACAAATGCATTTCCTAATAGTAATAATTTAAAAATTTTTATTTTATTGTGATAAGAACATTTGACATGAGATTTACCCTCTTAACAGATTTTTTAAGTGCACAATACAGTTATACACTTGTTATCATAGGTCCCTCGTTGCCTGTAGGCACAATGTTGTACAGCAGATCTCCAGAACTTATTCATCTTGCATAGCTGAAACTTTATACCCACTGGTAAGCAACTCCCCATTTCCTCCTCCCCACAGCCCCTAGCAACCACCATCCTATGCTTCTATGAGTTTGACTATTTTAGATTCATCATATATGTGGAATCATGCAGTATTTGTCCTTCTGTGACTGGCTTATTTCACTTAGCAGAATGTCCTCAAGATTCATCCATGTTGTTGCATATTTCAGGTTTTCCCTCTTTTTTTATGGCTGAATGATATCTCATTGTATATCTATACCACATTTTCTTTATCCATTCATCTGTTGGTGGACATTTAGGTTGTTTCCACATCTTGGCCATTGTGAATAGTGTTGCAATGAACATAGGAGGGCTAGTAACTCTTCAAGATCCTGACTTCAGTTCTTTTAGATAAATACTCAGAGATGGGATTGCTGGATCATATGGTAGTTCTATTTTTAATTTTTTAAGGAACCTCCATGTTTTCCATAGTGGCTGCACCATTTTGCATTTCCACAAGTGGTGTACAAAGGTTCCAATTTCTCTATGTCCTAAGCTACACTTGTCTTTTAAAAAAAATTTATGGGGCCGGCTCAGTGGTGTAGTGGTTAAGTTTGTGCGCTCTGCTTCAGCGGCCCGAAGTTCACAGGTTCGGATCCTGGCCATGGACCTACACTCCACTCATCAAGCCATGCTGTGGCGGTGTCCTACATACAAAATAGAGGAAGATGTTAGCTTGGCAACAATCTTCCTCAAGCAAAAAGAGGAAGATTGGTAACAGATGTTAGCTCAGGGCCAATCTTCCTCACACACACACACGCACAAAATTTGTAATAGCCGTCCTAACAGGTGTGAGGTGATATCTCATTGTGGTTTTGATTTACATTTCCCTGATGGTTAGTGACGTTGAGCATCTTTTCATATAACTGTTGGCCATTTGTATGTCTTCTTTGGAGAAAGGTCCATTAAAGTCCTTAACCCATTTTTTAAATTTCTGGGGTTTTTTTTGTTTTTTTTTTTTAGATTTTATTTTTTTCCTTTTTCTCCCCAAAGCCCCCCAGTACATAGTTGTGTAGTCTTCGTTGTGGGTCCTTCTAGTTGTGGCATGTGGGACGCTGCCCCAGCGTGGTCTGATGAGCAGTGCCATGTCCACGCCCAGGATTCGAACCAACGAAACACCGGGCCGCCTGCAGCGGAGCGCACGAACTTAACCACTCGGCTACGGGGCCAGCCCCCTTAACCCATTTTTAAATAGGGCTGTTAGTTTGTTGTGTTTTTTTTGCTACTGAGTTGTAGGAGTTCCTTATATATTTTGGATGTTAACCCCTTATCAGATGTATGATTTGAAAGTATTTTCTTCCATTCTGTCATTTTCTTTTTCACTCTGTTGATTGCTTCCTTTACTGTGCAGAAGCTTTTTGATGTAGTCCCATTTGTCTATTTTTGGTTTTGTTTCCTGTGTTTTTCATGTCATATCAAAATCGTTGCCAAGACCAATGTCATGAAGCATTTCCTGTATGTTTTCTTCTAGGAGTTTTATAGTTTCAGGTCTTAGGTTTAAGTCTTTAACCCACTTTGAGTTGATTTTTGTGTATGGTGAAAGACAAGCATTCAGTTTCGTTCTTTTGCTTGTGGATATCCAGTTTTCCCAGCACCATTTGTTGAAGAGACTGTCCTTTCCCTATTATGTGTTCTTGACACCCTTGTCAAAGATCAGTTGACTGTATATGTGTGGATTTATTTCTGGCCTGATGAGCAGTGCCTTGTCCACGCCCAGGATCCAAAATGGCAAAACCCTGGGCTGCCGAAGCAGAGCATGCGAACTTAACCACTCGGCAATGGGGCCAGCCCCATGTTTGCTGATTTTTGTATCTTGTTCTTAGATTTTGTTCCCGATCTTAGAGGAAAAGATTTCAGTTTTGCACCATTGAATATGATGTTAGCTGTGGGCTTTTCATAAGTAGCCTTTATTATGTTGAGCTAATTTTTCTCTATTCCTAGTTTGTTGAAAGTTTTTATCATGAAAGGGTGTTGAATTTTATCAAATTCTTTTTTCTGCATCTATTGAGATGATCATGTGATTTTTTAATCCTTCATTCTGTTAATGTGGAATATCACATTAATTACAGTAGTCCCCCTATCCAAAGGGGATATATGTTCCAAGGCCCCCAGCAGATGCCTGAAACCGTGGATGGTACCAAACTCTTGATATATTATATTTTTTCCAATACCTACATATCTATGATAAAGTTTAATTTATAAATTAGGCACAGTAAGAGATTAACAACAATGAATAATAATAAAATAGAACAATTATAGCAATATACTGTCATAAAAGTTACTGTGGATCTCAGCAACTTCAGCATACGATTTTTTCTTTGCTTATTAAGTTGAGAACTTTCAGCTTTTCACTTAGAGGAAGCACTTTATGGGGCTTCTCTTTGGTGTATCCAAATTGCCAGCATCACTCTTGTGCTACGGGCCATTATTACGTATAATAAGGGTTACTTGAACACAAGCACTGCGATCCCATGACAGTTGATCTGATAACCTAGAGGGCTACTAAGTGACCAACGGTAGGGTAGCATATGCAGTGTGGATGCACTGGACAAAGAGATGATTCACGCCCTGGGTAGGATGGAGCAGGATGGTGTGAGATATCATCACGCTACTCAGAACTGCGTTCAATTTAAAACTTAGGAATTGTTTAGTTGTGGGATTTTCCACTTAAACGATGTTGGACCACAGTTGACTGAAACCGCAGAAAGTGAAACCGCAAATAAGGAAGGACTACCGTAATTTTTGTGTGTTTAACCATCCTTGCATCCCAGAGATAAATCCCACGGTGTAATATATTTGAGAGAATCCTAAGCATCCTGTTGTCTTGTACATAATAACTTGCTCTTGGACTTTAAATTTTTTTATATTGCCAAATATCTGCAACCTAGAATTTGAAATAATTCATTAAAATATTAAAATATTCAAAAGAAAAAATTCTTCCTGTATTTTAAGCTATATTTTTAAAGGCTTCTTGCTTTAAAATCCCAACAATATGTATTTACATGTTACAGGTAAACTTTTCATTTAAGTCATTTAATCTGTATGATGGAGAACAAATTAGAAAAAATATTTATCTCTGAAATTCCTTTGTTGTGTGTGTGTATTTTGTGTCCTGAATCTGCAGCAGCATCTCACTTGCATCAACATTGTTGAAAGAAGAAGAAAAAATGCCAGTGCTATCTCCTGAAATCAAATTTGAGACTTCTAACGTCACCAGGAATTCTCTTCACGGTTGTTTTCTTTTTGAGAGTAGTTGGAGGAAAGCAGTTTTAGAAACACAAAAGATGAGGAAAGGTAACTTCATTTTTACTCATTTTACTTAAGAAAATATAGCTATAGTGCCTTGAGTGTACATGTATTTTATTAAGCAATCAAGAGACATTTTATAATTTCTGTAACATTTATGTAAAAATAATGTCTTAAGCTTGTGGAAAAGAAAAATAGAAGCAAATTAAAATTAATTTACTTAATGTAATTCTGTAAGTCATGACAGAAACAAATTTTAAAGAACTATTTCTCTTGATATCAGTTGAGTGCTATCGCTGTTGGATCCTACTGCTTTTCATAAGTTGTGTCTGTTTTTAAATACCTGAAGTTGGTTTTTATGTAGAAAGAAACCCAAATCTTGGGCTGGCCCCGTGGCCGAGTGGTTAAGTTCGCGCGCTCCGCTGCAGGCGGCCCAGTGTTTCGTTAGTTCGAATCCTGGGCGCGGACATGGCACTGCTCATCAGACCACGCTGAGGCAGCGTCCCACATGCCACAACTAGAAGAACCCACAACGAAGAATACACAACTATGTACCAGGGGGCTTTGGGGAGAAAACAAAGGAAAAAAATAAAATCTTTAAAAAAAAAAAAGAAACCCAAATCTTTAACAGGACCTTTATTGTATTAATAATTCTAATCAAAACTTTATTTTTTGAGTGAGTTATGTGGAAAGTATCTTCTATCCTATAGTTGGTCAACAGAGACTAATTTGAGAACTTTTGACGTGTATGGGAATGCATTAATAGCTTTTTCCCCCTAAGTTCAAACTAGAATTTATTTCTTGTTGATCCTGAATTCTGCCTTCAGCTTTATTAATGGAGATATAATTCTTGAAAATAGCAAAATTCAAACTCCCCAACCATATTGTTACTCCCGGTTTTGAGTGTGTTGCTATGTTTTCTTCAACTTTTTCACTAGATTCCCCATAAAGGTACTCAGAGGACACCAGTTTATCTGCCCTCCCACCCCCAAATCTAATTGTTGAAAAGAGAATCTATATGTTTTTTTGATCAAGAGAAACTATTTTTTTCCAAAAGAGGAGAAATTGAAGGTTGCAAAATAGAATTTTGAACATTTAATATAACTCCAGTCCCATTAAATACTATTTTTATTGCTGTGCTAGACTTGCTTAGTAGAGAAAGCTTAAAAAACAATTCTCTACGTTTAGTTTAAAGATTACCCAACTCTTTAATCTCTTAATTTGCTTTTTCCATTTGCTGTCTTCGTTTTGAAGTTTTTAAAATAATTTGAGAATCTCCTTGTCCAATGATGTGTGAGGTCAATGGAAGAAGCAATCGTGATGCTTCAGTATTGCTGTTTATAGATTTGGTGTGGAATTTTGCAAAGAGAAAATGAAAATCAATGCCTGAAATAGAATTCTTTTATCTCTCATTGCCAGCTCAGATGATCATGTATTTATACCTCTTGATTATTTACATAAAACAGGAAGGTAGAAAGATTTAAAGTAGCAGATAATGCAGAGCTCTTGAAAGTGCTTTTAAACTCTATGTCAGTGTGAATGTATTTAATATTCTGAGAATTCTAATTATATAAAATAATAAAGGCAGAGGACAGTGACAACCGTGGGAGATCTGTGGCACTGTCCTTTTTCCTTATTCTAATTCCCTTTTTTTTTTGGTGAGGAAGATTTGCCCTGAGCTAACATCAGTTGCCAATCTTCCTCTTTTTTTGCTTGCGGAAGATTAGCCCTGAGCTAACATCTGTGCCAGTCTTTCTCTATTTTATGTGGGATGCCTGCACACCATGGCTGATAAGTGGAATATGTCTGCACCCGGGATCTGGACCATAAACCCAGGGCTGCTGAAATGGAGCGCATGGAACTTTAACCACTCACCCACAGGGCTGACCCCACTTTATTCTAATTCTTTTTTTAAAAAATTATTTTTTAAAGTAATTTTATTGAGACCATAATGGTTTATAATATTGTTTAATTTTGGGTGTACATTATTATTTATCAATTTCTGAATACACTTCGTCATGCTTATCTCCAGTAATCTAATTTTTATCCATCACCATACATATGTACCCCTTTACTCCTTCCACCCACTTCCCAACCCCCTTCCCCTCTGGTAACCACTAATCTGTTCTCTTTATCCATGTATTTGTTATCTTCCACATATGAGTGAAATCATGCAGTATTTATCTTTCTCTGTCTAGCTTATTTTGCTTAACATCATACCCTTGAGGTCTATCCATATTGTTGCAAATGGGACGATTTTGTCGTTTTTTGTGGCTGAGTAGTATCCGTTGTATATTTATACCACATATTTATCCATTCATCTGTAGAAGGGTATTTGGGTTGCTTCCACATCTTGGCTATTGTGAATAATGCTGCAGTGAATATAGGAGTGGATAAATCTCTTTGGATCATTGATTTCAAGTTCTTTGGATAAACACCCAGTAGTGGGATAGCTGGGGTGTACGGTATTTCTATTTTTAATTTTTTGAGAAATCTCCATACTGTTTTCCATAGTGGCTGCACCTGTTTGCATTCCCACCAGCAGTGGATGAGGCTTCCCTTTTCTCCACGTCCTCTCCAACACTTGTTGTTTTTTGTCTTGATAATTACAGCCTTCTGACTGATGTAAGGTGATATCTCATTGTAGTTGTGATTTGCATTTCCCTAATGATTACTGATGTTGAACATCATTTCCTGTGCCTGTTGGCCTTCTGTATATCTTCTTTGGAAAAATGTCTGTTCATATCCTCTGCCCATTTTTTGATCGGGTTGTTTGTTTTTAATCGGCCCTTTAATCAACTCTCCCCTACAGTCTCTGCACTAGGAATTGAAAGGTATTCTCTTGGGAAAGATGCTAGACAAATTACAGTAGCCTAATTTTCTTTACTTAATGACAGATTTAGTATATTTTATTATGCATTTTAGTACATAGTAAAAGAAGTTGTATATATGCAATCAAGAAATAATGCAGATGATTATGATATTATTTTTAATTAGAATACACCACAGCATTTGGTCTAGAAGAGTTCAAAGATTGTGTCAAAATGCCATATTTACCAGGATTGCAAAGTTGCCAAAAAAGTGTAAGTTCAACTCCACTAGAGGTTCATAAAAGACTGCTGTGTGCCGATCCTGAGAAGCCCCCAGTCAGGTAGATCGTTTCTGTCCAATTCTCTTCCATTGAATATTTATTTGTAGTAATATTGCCGAATGTAGAGTTTTTCTCACTAGTGAATCTAATTCTGTATTGCCTATGGATTTTTTTCCATAAAGCATTTAACTTTTTTAATCTAAGTTAGTGTTATATTCAGTTTCACAAGTAGGTACTTTTCTCAGTTTTCAAGTGACATTGCCAGAAAAGGATTTAAGGACTTCCTTTTAAAAATCTTTCTTACCCTAGTGTAGATGGCCCATGAGAATGTTGGAATTTTTAGAAATAAAAGTAAATGAACTCTCTGCTATGTTAATGGGTTTTGTTACTCTGAGTATAGAACCCGTGTTTCATTTCTAGCTCAATGGAAGTAGTGTGAGAGGAGATTCTGAATGAAATGTCAGCCTAATGAAGACCCCGCACCGTCTATAAGGAATGAGTTTGTCAGCCAGACAAGCCCACTGACTTTGAACACTAGCATTTAAGATTATTATAAATACCTTTGCTGCTATAAATCAGACTGATTGATATACCACTAAAAGAAAACCCCTTTTTCTAAAGAGATCTACAAGTCAGTTAGTAAGACAGTCTCCGATTCTATTGAGTTTCTGCTTTGGTTTATTTATTTATTCTTCAGGTATTTGTTGACTGTCTAGTACTTGTTCTGTTTGCCAGCCTAAAAAAAAAAAATGAAGCATTTATAGCAGTCTGAGTTACAACTCTCTTTAGGAGAGAATTTATGTTTTTATATTATCTCCTGCCATAAAGAGCTTTAGTCATCCAATTATACATAGCACACAAATTTCAGAATGTCTTTCTCGAGTTTTCCACTAGTATTGTTGTTCTTGTTAATTACTCTTGAATTAAATGCTGGTAATAGAAGTAGAGAACTCAAACATACTAAAAATGCAAAGTTGTGGATAGTTGATATCAAATTATGAAAATAAATAAGAACTTTGCAGAAAATTTGGGGGAAAAAAGAAAAACAATTCTTTGATAATTACCCATCCTAATATATCCATTTTCACTGTTGGGTGTTCTCTTCTATTCTTCTTCGTTTTCATGGACTTTTATTTTAGCTGTGATTTTAGTGTACTTACAATTTTTTATTCTGCCGTTTTTACTTAAAATTACGTATGTACATTTTTTCATATCATTACATAATCTTTACACAGTCTTTACTGTCCACTTAATATTTCAATGATGGATCCATAGTTTATTTAACTATGTTTAATAACACAGTTTATTTAAAAGTCGCTATTACTAGACTTTTAAGTTGCTTTGACTTTTTCAGTTTTGTAACTAACAGCACAATGGACAATAGCCACATAGAGCCTTTCCTGTTATTTTCAGTATTAGCTGAGGACAGATTGCCAAGCTATAAAAATATAGAAAGCAAAATTACTCTTTCTGAAGTGAGATGACAGTGAAATAAGGCAGAATCAGAGATGGTGGAAGAGAGAGAGTGAGTTGCTAGTAGAGGAGATGGTAACAGTTAAAGAGGAGGGATGGTAAGGATATAGAAGGAAGAGGGACCATTGGAAACAGGGTCATAAAACCTACCTAAGAACAGTGAGCTTCCATCATTACCAAGACACCTGTATCCCTCACAGTCAGCTCGCTTGTGCCATTGTCATCCACAGTCACAGAGCCCTTTGAGGAGGGTGGCCATAAGAGTGTGTAGGGCTGTCTCTGGCAATGGACTTGTGTCAATACAGACCAGTCGTACCTTTCTTTCAATTCATGTGATCATATTAAAGATGGTGGAAGCCCTGAAAGCACCCCCGAAATTAGCTCATTCAGCTCCTAAATTTTAAGTCTTCATTTTGCTTCCTACTGTTTTCACCCTATTTCAATTTATTTTTTATTTCTTTCATTTGCCACTTGGCTGTTTGTGAAATGATTCTTCAACATTTTACATTGACTTGAATCAGTGAAGGCTAATTTGAATATATTATATACGTGTTATGACAAGTGTTCTTCATATATAAAGTGGAAGAGTGGTGGCTAAGTGCCAAAATGTTTACGAAATGCTCGGCAAACGTAAATGTTAGTTCTAGTCCCTGTCTTTGAAACAAGTGTCTTTGTTTTAGCCGTTCCGGTGAGAACGCGTCGAGTTGCCTGCAAGTGTTTTATTCTCCTCTGCCTATTGCACAGCGCCCTGTGAAAGGACAGCCTTGGCAAAGCAGGGAAGTACTCACTTCTGTTTGTCTGTGTACTATCCTTTACCCCTTTTTTTTCCATATGTGACTATTTGATTTTAAGACTCTGATAAAAGTCTAATTTTTTTCATATTCCTTTAGTGATAATCAGAATTTTTCTATGAATCTCAAGGCCTACTTTGGTAATATAAGTGAAAATAGGAATCCAGAGGTGGAGAGCACTTAAGAGTTCCACTGACTTCTAAAGTTGAATACAGTTACAAGAAATTTGGAATTCTGGTGGATTATCTCACCCTCAGCAGATTCAATCATGACATATTTCCTCTAATAACCTATTTATTACCTAGGTCTATTCCAGCAGGAACAAAAGTTAATTATGACAAAATTCAGATTGTGGTGATTCATTGGTAAGAAGTACAGAAATAAGTTGATAGTTGGTGTCTGGTATATCCAGATACCTTGTTAAACTAATCTTGATTCCCTTCGTCTTAGCAGTCCCCGAGTCATGATTAGTGAGACTAAGATAAAGATAAGTGCATATAAAGATGGGAAAAGTTAGTCATAACACTCATCCGTTCATAAAATTTATTTGCAAAAACCGAGGTATTGAGTTGGTTCATATCTGCTTCTGATTGGATTAGTTATGACGGGAGGAGTTTTCTTTCTTGAATGTTTGTTTAATTTCCAAGTGATGTCCTTCAACAAATGAGTTTCACTGAAAGCATGCTTCTTGTCTCTTAATTGTGTTTTGAAAAATTAGTTTCCCAGGATTTATATGAAAGTGATTTTATGATAATCTATAATTTCAGGATAAAGAAGACGAAGGAAGCATGCACTGTGGTACCACTTCAGGAGAAATCAAAAAGTAAGCTGGCTCATCTTTTTCTCCCACCGCATGTCTTGTTAGCATGTTGAGTACTTATCTTTTTTTTTAGCTTCCTTTCTTTCCATGGATTTAATGGTCTTTGTTTTGTTAATGCGTCATTTTAAGCTTTGTTTATTTTATAAACATGGTGGATGTTGTGTTCAGTGTATATGTACTTTTATTATCTCAGGACCCTGTGATAGGCTCTCATCCCATGTGGGTCATCACAGTCATCTGCAAACTGGTCTTGCTTTGAGTTTCTAACCTTTGAAATCCTTCAGCACTATAATGAAAGCCTAAAACCTTGGCCTCTACTCACATCACTCCTCATTACCCACAGACTAAAGTGTGAACTCCTTAGCTTGGCATTGAACCCTTTACCATCTTCCCTGAACTTTACTTTCTATCCTTCTTTTCTAATTAATTTTTTCATGAATCCTGTGTAGCTATAACATCCAACTACGGAAACTTATCGATATGCCAACAGTTTGGGTTCCAGAACTACTCTTAAGTTGATTTATTCCTAAGTCCTTGGTGACTAGGAGGGTTTATAGCACCAAGGTGCATTTCTGCCTATTTGGAGTATGAGTTTATCCTTCGAAACTTTAAAATCAGGCATTCTCACCTCCACATTTCTGAGGTTTGATCAGAATTTTGCTTTTCAAAAATTGACGCTGAAAAATCTGTTGAGCCAGGTAATTACACTTTTAATGATGTCTACCAGATTATGGAGAATTTCCTAGCAGCCGTGGCATCTACACTTACTGCCTCATCCTTTACTTTCATATGTTATAGATTCATGGGGACATTATACCGAGGGAACCATATATGGCACATGACATAATGCTTACATCTAGCATTATGTTTAAGTTCTCCAATAAATTCTTAGCCATTTCCTGAAGTAATTTTATCCAAAGTTAATGGTAAAGATTCTTGAGCCATACAGTCACAAAGTTTCCATTTTGTCATTATATTTTCTTGTTTTTGTTGATTATTATATAAACCAGGTTTTCTCAACAGTGACAGTACTAACATTTTGGGCCAGATAATTCTTTGTTGTGGGGGTGTGTCCTGTGCATTGTAGGATGTTTGGCAGTATCCATGACCTTTACTCACTAGATACCACCAGCACCCCCTAAGTTGTGGTGATCACCAATGTCTCCAGACACTGCCAGATGTCCTTAGGTTAACAAAATCACCCCTAGCAGAGAACCTTCGATTTAAGCATAACATCTTTAACATCATATGTTGTTGCCTACTTGTCCTTCAGACTATCAAATGTTTCATCCTTTCCCTATGTGCAGCAATTATTTCCTTCCCATTTAACATTTTTTAAACCTTACTTATTTTTCATTTTTATCATAATCGTAGTCGTCTTCTAGTGCTTTCATCCCTTCTATGGTTTTGCACTTATGGAATAATGGAGTTAATAGCTCACCTCCAAACAAAAACTAAAATTACTAAGTAAGATCTTTATTGACACTTTTGGTAGCTGTCAGAACTGATTGTTAGCAACTTGGCAGGTTCAGTCTATGGAAGTTCATAATGGTAAATTTTCATGAACTCCTCCTTGGACATTTCCTTTCTCTAAATTTCCATATACTATAAACAACTTCTGTAATCAACAGGTAACATAAAATAAAAATATAAGTGTTAATTAGAACAAAAGACATTTGTTTTGCATCTCGGCCCAAATGAACATTTGCCTGCCTGTTTTCCAGTAGGTCAACTTTATGGTTCTTTCAGGCCAGTCCTATGTCTTATTCACTTTTGCATCCCTATAGCGCCTACCCCAGTTTCTGCAACATATTGAGTCTTCAGTAAATACTTGGTGATTTTCTCTCAAAGTCACACGAAAAGGCCGTTCATCCATTCACTCAGCAAATATGAATTGAGTGTCTGCTCTGTGCCAGGATTTCTAGGTGCTTGGGTGTAGGGTCCACCCCTCAACAAGACAAAGATCCCTGCTCTTGTGGAGTTTACATTCTAGTGAGAGAATACAGCCAACAACCGTTAAACATAATAAATAAGCCCATTGCGTAGTGTATTAGAAGGTGAAAGTGCAGTAGAAATAACAACAAAATAGAACAAGGTAAGGTAGATCAGGAGATCCGGGGAGAGGATGATTTACAGTCTTAAATAGGGTGGTCAGAATAGGTTTAATTGAGAAGGTAGTTTTTGAGCAAAGACTTGAAAAAGCTGAGGAAGATAAACTTAGGGAAAAAAGTTATTCTCTTTGGGTCAGCATAGGTCCCAAGGCAGGATGGTACCTGACCTCTTGGAAGAACACCGGAGTTGAGTGTGGCTAATCTCAGGGTGTGGAAGATGAGGTAAGAGAGGTAATGGAGTGTCTGACCATGTAAGGCCCTGGAAGTCACTTTGTATTTAACTCTGATTGAAATAAGAAGCCACTGAATGACTTTAATAAGAGAATGATTTTAATGTCATCTGATTAATGTTCTTAAAGAATCACCATGGCAAGTTTCGTCTATTTAACAGTTAGACCTTTAAAAAAACCGCCTCAGAGAACTTCCACCTCTGGCTATGATGGAGTAGTTTATATCACACAAACTTTACCACCAAGAATTAGTATAAGATCTAATTATAAAAGGTATAATAAAAATATATTTTATAAAATATGAAATATTAAAAGTTATATATTTGTTATTAATATAAAAATGATAAAAATATTTAAAAACAACTGTTTTAAGGTGTCAAGAGCAGCCATTTCTGACAGGACTAGACAGGCTGAGATACTGGAGGAGTAACTGCAGAGAAGGGAGCCCAAAACGCTGTGTGCAATTTCCTCAACAGGTCTTTGCCTTTTCCTAAGTAGCACGTATGCTGGGTAATGTTTCAGGACTTCAGGCAGAAAACAGCTTCTTGAAGGCTAAAGAAGTGAGCAGAGATTTCAGTATCTTAGCATTTGCTGGGGAAACACAGGTGGGAGTTTAAGACCTACCAACAGGGAGAGCCCTTGATAAACACCCCAGGCTTTCAGCTGAAATTTCTGAAGGGCTACACACTGTAAATAAAGGCATACCAAGAATACACTGGCTTTACAAAAGCCTAAAGCCCAGTCTTGACTGCTAGAAGAAAATTAAATTCTCTCTGGAGAACTAGAAGGTAAACCAGAGCCTTATAGGTTTATAGAAAATAGAGAACAGCAGCAGACTTACAAATGATCCAAATATTGGAACTATTTGACAGGGACTTTAAAAGCTATGTTTAATATATTCAAGATAATAGAGAAAAAGATGAAAAATTACATCAAAGAATTAGAATCTATAAAAAAGAAATAGAAATTCTTGAGTTGAAAAATACAATAGTTGATTAGACTTAGCTGCTAGGACAGGCAACAAAAGCAAAAGCAAACAAGTAGGACTATATCAAACTAAAAAGCTTTTGCACAGCAAAAGAAACCGTCAACAAAATGAGGAAGGCAACCTACTGAATGGGAGAAAATATTTGCAAACCATATATCTTATGAGGGGTTAGTACCCAAAATATGTAAGGAACTCCTACAACTCAATAGCAAAAAACCAAATAACCCAATTTAAAAATGGGCAAAGGACCTGAATAGACTTTTTCCAAAGAAGACATACAAATGGCCAACAGGTATGTGAAAAGATGCTCAGTATCCCTAGTCATCAGGGAAATACAAATCAAAACCACAATGAGATATCACCTCATACTTGGTCAAATGGCTATTATCAAAAAGAAAAGAGATAATTGTTGGTGAGGGTGTAAACAAAAGGGAAGCTTTATTGGTGGGAATGTAAGTTATACAGCCATTATGGAAAACAGTATGGAGGTTCCTCAAAAAATTCATAATAGGACTACCATACTATCCAGCAATCCTAGTATTCGATACATATCCAGAGGAAATTAAATCAGTATCTTGAAGAGATATCTGCTCTCCCATGTTCATTGCAGCCTTATTCCCAATAGCCAAGATATGGAAACAACCTAAGTGTCCAATGATGGATAAATGAATAAAGAAGATGTGGTTTGTATACACAATGGAATATTATTTAGCCATTAAAAAAGAAGGAAGTCTTGCCATTTGTGACAACATGGATGAACACAGGGCATTATGCTAAGTGAAATAAGCCAGATGAAGAAAGACAAATACTGCATGGTATCAATTATTTATGGAAAGCATGTTATAAAAAAAAAAGCAAAAAAAAGATCAAACACAGAAATAGAGTAGAATGGTGGTTACCAAGGATTAGGGGTTGTAGCTGATGGGAAGATGTTGGTGAAAGTGTACAAAATACCAGTTATAAGATGAATAAGTTCTGGGGATCTAATGTATAGCATGATGACTATAGTTAATAATACTGTATTGTATTTTGTGAAATTTGCTAAGAGAGTCGATCTTAATTGTTCTCACTGACCTCACCCCACCAAAAAAAGGTAACAGTGTGAGGTGATAGAGGTGTTAATTAACTTAATTGTGGTAATAATTTCACAGTGTACGCATATACCAAGTCCTCATTTATATACCTTAAATATTTACAATTTCTGTTTGTCAAATATACCTCAATAAAGTTGGAAGAAAAATGAACAGATGATAGGATTAGTAAAATGGAAGATAAAAAATTAGAAAATACCCAATTAAGGTGAAGAGAGAAAAAAGATAGATAATACAGAACAGAGTGTGCAAGACATTATGCGACAAAGGAAAACTGCTTTACACATGCATAATTCTAATTCCAGAATAAGAGGAAAGAGGAGTGGGACAGAAATAGTGCTCACAAACTGCCTGAGAATGTCCTAAACTGAGCTACAGATACAAGAAGTTCTGTGAGCCCTCAGCAGCATAGAGACCACAATAAAACCACAGCTAGACACATTATAATGAAAAGACTAAATATCAAGAAAAAGGATATGTTACCTTCAAGGGAGCATTGGTAAGATGTACAACTGACTTTTCAGTAGACAATGGCAGCAAGAGGGCAGTGGCATGGCATTTTCAAGTGCTGAAAGATAATCAC